GAGGGGGGGGGGGGTGTGGAGGGATGGGGTTTTTGGGGTGGGGAGGGGGGGGAGTGGAGCTACTGGGCGTAACAGTGTGTGGATCTCCCTATGTGGGATTTGGCTTGCTACTGAATACATTTGGATATTAGGTACGATGTGTGTGTGTGTGTGTGTGTGTACTCACCTATTTGTGCCTGCAGGATCGATTGGGCTCAGCCTATTGGGCTCTATCATATCTACATTAAAAACTATGTATGGAGTCAGTTTCATTTCGAATACATTCCATCTGTTAACTACTCTGACACTGAACAAATTCTGAATTTTTTTTCAGAAACCAAAGAATTACAATGCATTCTTAACTGATGAATTCTTACAATGACAGCCATGTGGAGGCCAGGGACCCACAGGGCTGTCAATAAGTGGTTGATTGCTCAATAAATCCCTGAACTATATGTTTAATAAATCTCTAATCCTGTCCATGGAGGACAGAAGAAAATGTATATATGCTGGTTAGCATTGGTAATGTGGGGCCACGTCTGTGGTAGAAAAAAATAAGTGGGACGGGAACTATGAGGAGAAAGCTCCAAGCCATTACGACTATATAGCACTGGGAAAGGGTCAGGATAAGAATTTGGGATGGGACGGGTGGAAGGAATGATGCCCAACCACTTGGACGGTCGGGGATTGAACGCTGACCTGCATGAAGCGAAACAGCCGCTTACCCGTCCACCTCAAGTAAATGATCACTACCATTTTTAAACACACAACCTTACAGCACTCTAGATATGCCTGATCCAGTTTTTTGTTATAAACGTTAAACACAGTCAATTTAGAAAATGCAAAATTCTTACATATTTATAAAGACGGTAAAATGATGGTGACGAAGGTACAGTAAGTAAAGTAAGGTACAGTCCAAGAATAGTATTCCTATACCCCCCCCCCCCCGCCCCCTAAGTTTCTTGGAAACTGAAAAATGGCAACACTGTGTTTGTTGTTGTTGTTGTTGTAATGGACCAGAATATGAATGACTAGACGCTTTGTAACGACGAGTCTCATTGGTCAAAACACCCCTTCACTGGTTTATATATTTCACACACTGCTATCAAAAGACAAATAGTGTAGAGCAGTTAATGCTAATGAATATAGGTAGATTAATTAAAAACCGAGATGGCTCTACTTTTTTTTTGTATAAGAGTTCATTGACCTTTAATGTAAACGATATAACGTATAATAACGCTACGTAATGGCCTTTGGCTGTTGGGACAAAGACGACGTGACGTCATACACAAGACGCTACCTCGATTGTCGTTAGCCGTCAATCACCGGCAACACTGTTGGTTTGTTGACGTTTCTGTCCGAAATGCTGTGCGTGTTAGTGGCTTTACAAGAATGCAAAAACAGCAATGCTTTGTGCTCTCATAAACCCAATGTACCTTCTTGTATATATATAAATAAATAAATAAAGTTTAGTTCATTTATTATGTATCCCATTCCCATCCTGTGGGTGGTAGTGGACCCAATACCCATCCTGTGGGCGGTAGTGGACTCCATACCCTTCCTGTGAGCGGTAGTGGACCCCATACCCTTCCTGTGGGCGGTAGTGGACCCCATACCCTTCCTGTGGGCGGTAGTGGACCCCATACCCTTCCTGTGGGCGGTAGTGGACCCCATACCCTTCCTGTGGGCGGTAGTGGAAAGGGTTACAGAGGCACATAATGGGCTCAGGGACTGAACCCCAAAATTCATTTAGCTCAGCAAGTTACAGTCTTGATGAGCTAGTTACAAAATTCTATGCACATTGTCACACCAACAATGGGCTCGAGACCGAACATAAGTAGTCTCTAAATTAAGCAGCTGACATATGTGGAGAGCTAGTGTCACAGTTGATATGATTATCTTGCACACCGACCCTTAACCAGTGGGCAGCGGTGGATTGGTTACAATCACTCGGTTACTACCAACAGTTTTTTATTTTTTTAATTTACACGCCAAAGGCACACAACATAAATACAATAAAAGAAGGCACCAAAGTACTACCACAAAACAAAAAACATGACATCAGCTACAGAACATAACACCACAAACCACAATAACATTAGCACATAAAACAGAACAAAATCACTCCGAATCAGATACTTGGTAGTCAGGATGGTACTATGAGGAAAGTCTCTTCTTCTTCTTGATAGCAGATGCAGTTTGCATGAAGGGTTCAACCTCCCGATGATTGCACCAGTACAGATGTTGGGAGACGCGTGTATGGGGAGAATAATAAGAGTTTCAAAAGTGCACGTTGTGTTGAGCCGTAGAGAGAGAAGCGGCGACGAGAACAGAGACGTATGCTAGAGGGTACGTGGTGTTTAAGGCGTCGCTAGTTGATCTACAAGGTCAGTATGGAGTATACCACAATGCACTGGGACCTAGTGGATAGTAAGTACAAAACATGGAACATAAACAATGTCAAGGCACACAACCATACGCCTGACGGGCCCACAGCAGATATAACTAATGAGAGTCAACAGCAAGCAACGCCACACCTACTCATACTTCTACAGAAAGTCCGCCACTGAAAACCAGAGACAGTACACCTCCTAAAGACACTCCGTATCAGGATGGACAAGCGCACGAGGACGCGCCATGGATTCTGAAACCCTGGACATAAAAACACGTACACGAGGTACCCAAATAATAGACGGGCACAGAGGGATCGTCAACAACCGCTCCCACTGTAAGGGCGTCTCGCTAGTACGTATTTCGTCGAAAACATCTTCACCAACAGGCCAGCCATCCTGGTCAACCTCGCCAAACACGTCCACAGTGGGCTGCACCACAGGAGGAGGCACGTCAGGGGGGTAAGACCACAGGGTCCACATCCAGAAACAGCCACAGGGTCAGGCATTGGCACAAAATCCCCAAGACAGACATCCTTCCTGAGGACCACCACAAGGCCACGGCCCACATCACTTTCCGTGCCACCCACCACAGGAGTAGGGACCACCCCCCACTGCGGGGAACCCCTTGCAGGAAAAGAAACAGAGGTTAACAGAGAGACATTGTCACTGGCGACAGCGGCAGGCACATGAACCCCCTTCCACCACCATCACAGGTGATACCACTGCCCTGGGTACCACCCCATCGACACCCCTAGACTCGCCAGAATCAAACTCGCCCACATCGGCCCAGTCAGGAGGAGTGAAACGCCGCGAGGGCTTGGAACCCGCTCGTGGCATTTCATGGCACAAGATGTCAGCAACCACGACGACAGGGGGGACTGGTCCCAACACAGCAGGAGGGCCGCACTTCCATATCACCCCCCACCACAGCCGGGACAAGCAGCGAGGACGGAGATACAGAAACCTCAGGACAAGGCAGATGATCCAGTGCAGAAAACGAAGAAGCTGGAGACGGAGAGGGAGCACCTGGGAGATCTACAGCAGCACCAGGCACGCCATCAGCAGCAGTACACCCAACCAAGGATGGTACAACCACTGGAGCACTAGCCCCACCAGGAGCAGACGCACTGTCCACAAATGCATCCACTGGGTCCTCCTCCACAGTCAATGGCGGGAAATCTTCCTCATGAAAGAGATTCACTTGGGAGACGACAGCTGGCCCGTGGGTCAGCCTCCTTCCTAAGGACCAGCACCAAGTCCTTCCCAGCATCCATGGACTCCGTAGGGGTATCTATCCCCCACTCTGGGAAGCCCACAGCAGAGGGCGCAGGGGATCATATAGGAGCTGGCACGGACACCCCAACACCAGCATCCGCCTCTACAGCATGGACACCTATCACCACCACTGCCGACCCACACTCAGACACAACAAGAGCTGCAGGGCCTTCCTCTTCCACCGAAGACATAGCACTTGCATACTCCTCCATGTCCACCCAGACGGGGTTCCCCAGGGATAGACGTAACCGATGAACGCCTGGAGCGCTTTGGGTCTGGCCGCATATCATCAGAACTCTCCACCTCGACGATGGCCAATGCACCTCAGGTGTCGGCCTGAGACCTGCTTAAGGAAGCGGGTCCCTGGAACGTAACCCACGGCCACGCAAAATCGCAGCAGCAGCAACCACAGGAAGCACGGGCCCATGTACAACAGAAGGCCGCAAATCCATAGGAGTGACAGGGTTTACACACACACACACACGGCCCAAACACCAGGAAGCGTGCCACGAGAGTCCAGAGCCACAGGAGAACCATCCACAATCGCCGTGGGAGGGGAGACAGGGATGGGTCCACACTCCTCACCACAACCACGCCTGGACCACACACACACATCCTCAGAGAGATCAAACGACGAAGGCACAGGCATGGAGAGCACGGGGACCACCGCACAGCCACCACCGGTCGCGTCTCCAAAGACAGGTGGCTGCAGAGGCACGGTATCCTCCGACATCCACATCAATGGAAATCTCAGAAGCATCAGGAGCAATCAACGGGAGGAAGTCTTCATCACAGAAGAGTCACTAGGGTCACGACATTCGCACTGCAATCCACAGCCTGGTGCCCCGACAATCCGCAACGGAAGCAGGTCCGTGGCTGCGGGCATAGAACACACGCAGATAGTAGCCCATTAACTTCACTGATGAAGGAATGTCAGACTTGAGCCACATCTCCAACGTCTGGATGCCGTTCTGAACGCCTCGCAGTCTACCAGAGGAGATGGTATTCACCCAGACGGACACCACCTGTCTGTACTGCCCGAAGAAGCACCAGAGCAACACCTCAGGGAACTCGATAGGGGCACCATGGATGCTGATGTATGTAGCAGAACTACTGCTGTCTGAAACAATCACAGAACCAGCAGCATCCGGCAAAAGGAAGGTGTGGCCATCAAAGTGATGCAGAAAGCTCCGATAGGCCTCTTCCGTACACATCTTAACTACTGCCGATGCTTCATAATCTGCTGAACGCCACAGACGTCACCAATGCCCAACATATCAAACAAGGTGGTGTCCACTGTAGGGTAGTCTGCGATGCTAGAATATTCCAGTTCAATAGTCCTAGACCGCAAGAATGGGGGGCAGGGGCCCCCCATTACGCAGGGACAGTCGTGCACAGGCCCCCACTGGCAACACCCTGGAGAACCCCATGTGAGGCTAAGTCAATGATAACAGAGAGAACAGGCGACACACTCTCACCCCACAGCGACCCGGTTGCAACTCCTCTACTACCTACAGTTAGCAAGACTGGGGATAGTTGGCTAAAATTTTTGGTAGCAGATCTTTTTGAATTAAATATTTACACATTTCTTGAACATTTGTTATCGAATTGTCTCAGAATTCATGTATCTTTTCGCACGCTATCACATAGTAATGGATGGTGTGCGAATAATTTAGTTGACACAGTAACAGACGAGGTAGAGTTTGTGCATGACATCATATCGTCGATTGCCTCAACAGCCAACAACCAACACGTAAAATTAGCATACTTAATATCGTTTACAGAAAAGGTCAATCAAATCTTAAGCACAAAAGTAGTGCTATCTGCACTCTTCACTAATCTAAATATATTAATTTGTATTTACTGTTCAACACTAATTTTCCTTTCAATAGTAGTGTGAATTATATAAACTGGTGTGCGGTGGTGCGGGACCAATGAGACTCGTCGTATGAGCTAGCGGTCCCCGGGGCGTCGCCTGTCAGCCCATCCTCCAACCAAAGACCTAAATGTGATTCCATGCACCCGCCAAACCCCCCAGCTGTTTATGAATAAAAAACGGGTCTGACTCACAACTGATAACGTTCAAACAGTTCCGGAACAAGTGCTTCACTGACGAATTTTGTTCGAACCACAACGCTGTAAATGCTTCACCCACGTACTACAAATACAAATAATCGCCAACAGAACCTAAACACCTAACCTAACCTATGCCTATATATGCACAATATGCTAATATATTATAATATTAATTTATATCTGAGAAAATTCCTGGTTTGAATGAACAGCATGTTAAAATTTATGAATGCGTCTGTAGGGTCGACTGCTGGATGGAATGGATTTGAGTCTGAGGACGGGTTGCGTGCTTGACTTCACGAGTTGGGTATTAGGGGGGTAGTGACCAATGTGGTTATTGTGATGGTCCCTTAACTCCCCTACATATGTTTTCTACTTGTGTAAACATAAAGATCTGCTCTCGAGGTCTGGTTGAGAGGTACGATTCCCGCTTTTTGTGGGACTAAATGTCACTGTTGACCCCTTGAGGCTGTTGATGTTTAGCTTCCACTCCTCCAGTGTGAAGATTAGTAATACATTTAGCGGTGTTACTATCACATTATATATTTTGCCTCTGGATAGGGTGGTGGAGGGATAGTCTGTGGATAGGACCCTAGTGCAGTTTTTGTAGGGTCGGGTACGGTACAACGCTTGTGGTTCAAGGATGTTGCTTGGGATGGCTTGGATTGTAGTAAAATTGAGTCATTTAGAGATAAATCTCTCACGCTGTATGATATGGGAGCCTTATTACTAAGGATAAAATATCTGAAATCCTTGCACTGTATCCATCTTTCGCTCCCAGTAGATAAACGACATATGAGATTAAGAAACAAGTAGTGTATTGTGATGACTAATAACAAACAGCAGATCTCCTATGACTTTGTAATATCTCCATTGCTGAAACAATTATGTATTAATGATAAGACCTACCATTAATGTATAATGACTTACTGTAAATATTTAGCTCTTGAAATAGAACATTCTCTGTAACTAGCTGACATTGTAATTATAAGGTGTGAAGTGTAGAGGAAATTGCTTATGTAATAATCTCCGTTGAGGTCTGACAAAGACCTTTTGTGCCCTCTGTAATGTTTTTTGTGCTAACGCTCACAGGATGAGTATGGGATGCACAATAAACTAGCCGTCTCCGGCGACAATAATAAAAAATCAATGGTATGGACAATTATTTTACAGATAGTTATGTATGAGTTTTGTAGTACTACTTTCTTTAGGTTGTGTGTGTTAGTGTGCTTTGCTCACACTGTTAGTTTCTCCTTGTGTTCTGCCATTTTTCCCTATGAATATTAATGTTATGTGCTCTGTTTTTATGCTCTAGTTTGCGCTTATTACTGCAGAAACTGTTCTTGATTTAAGATTTGTGTATTCTGCTGTATGTTCCTATACCATGGTTTGCTATTTAAGTAATTGTGTTGTATAACGGTAACATGTGTATTCACCTAGTTGTGTTTGCGGGGGTTAAGCTTTGCTCTTTCGGCACGTCTCTCAACTGTCAATCAACTGTTTACTAACTACTTTTTTTTTCCACACCACACACACACACACACACACCCTAGGAAGCAGCCCGTGAAACCTGACTAACTTCCAGGTACCTATTTACTGCTAGGTAACAGGGGCATTCAGGGTGAAAGAAACTTTGCCCATTTGTTTCTGCCTCGTGCGGGAATCGAACCCGCGCCACAGAATTACGAGTCCTGCGCGCTATCCACCAGGCTACCAGGCCCCTTATGTGTGTATGTTCTTTGATGTATAATGTTTTCTTATAGTTTCCTTTACTGTTAATGTTACTGGTACTTTCCTTCCCCTGGATGGAAAGTTTTGTCATGTGTCGTCATATTGGCTTACTGTTTGTTTATACTGTTGTCAAGTTTTTCTGTCTGTGATTAACACTGTCCTGCTCTATGTCGTTTGATACATACAAATGTTTTAGATCTTGTCTTTTATGTCTATTTAAATTTTTTTTTTTTTTTTTTTTTTTTTTTTTTTGAGATATATACAAGAGTTGTTACATTCTTGTACAGCCACTAGTACGCGTAGCGTTTCGGGCAAGTCCTTAATCCTATGGTCCCTGGAATACGATCCCCTGCCGCGAAGAATCGTTTTTTCATCCAAGTACACATTTTACTGTTGCGTTAAACAGAGGCTACAGTTAAGGAATTGCGCCCAGTAAATCCTCCCCGGCCAGGATACGAACCCATGACATAGCGCTCGCGGAACGCCAGGCGAGTGTCTTACCACTGCACCACAGAGACTGCTAAATTGTGTTTATTTTAAATAAAGAAACACAAAAATGGGGTTCGTCGTTACAAAGCGCCTGTTCTCTCATTCATTCATAATTACTACTACAATAACAAACGCGGCGTCATATTCATTCATAATTACTACTACAATAACAAACGCGGCGTCATATTCATTCATAATTACTACTACAATAACAAACGCGGCGTCATATTCATTCATAATTACTACTACAATAACAAACGCGGCGTCATATTCATTCATAATTACTACTACAATAACAAACGCGGCGTCATATTCATTCATAATTATTACTACAATAACAAACGCGGCGTCATATTCATTCATAATTATTACTACAATAACAAACGCGGCGTCATATTCATTCATAATTACTACTACAATAACAAACGCGGCGTCATATTCATTCATAATTATTACTACAATAACAAACGCGGCGTCATATTCATTCATAATTACTACTACAATAACAAACGCGGCGTCATATTCATTCATAATTACTACTACAATAACAAACGCGGCGTTGCCATTCTTCACTTTCCAAGAAACTTTTTATTAGAGGAATACTTTTCAGCCACAGTTTCCAATATTTAATATTTTTAACCTTGTAATCCCGAGATAAACATCGCGTGACCCAATAACGATTCGGGGTTAAACCCGGCTCTGGAGCTCTCGCCTCAAGTTTATTCCATCCAGCGGTCGACCCCACAGACGCATTCATAAATTTTTAAATGCTGTTCATTCAAATCTGGAATTTTCTCATATATAAATTAATATTATAATATATTAGCATATTGTGCATATATAGGTATATGTTAGGCATAGGTTAGGTTAGGTGTTTGGGTTCTGTTGGCGAATATTTGTATTTGTAGTACGTGGGTGAAGCATTTATAGCGTTGTGGTTCGAACAAAAGTCGTCAGTGAAGCAGTTTTTCCGGAAGTGTCCATACGAAACCAGTTGTGAGTTGTGTTTAAACCGCTTTCATCATAAACGGGGTTTGGCGGGTGCATGGAATCACTTTTGGGTCTTTATATGAAGGACGGGCTGGAAGCAACGGGCTGAACGAAGCTCCACCACCTGACTTCAAGTGGGTGTATGAGCGGGCACGTTCGAAACCCGAAGCACAGACAGTCTCAGCCTGTTTATTCCGCGGGTCAGATCATTAAGGTGTTGCCTGTGGTTGTGTAGTGATGAGTGGGAGTGAAGCGTTTAAAGTATAAGTGAAAATATTGATCAACTGCTCGCATTACAAAAAACAGGTGCTTGGTGACAATGAGTTACGTGTGAACCAGTTGTCGTAGTGATAAACAGCGTGTTGTCACCAGCCTCTAAGTTGTTACCAGCGTCTTCCAAAGTTGTTTGTTGTTGTTTTAGATTCACCTACTAGGAACAAAAACTTCCAAGTAGCACGGGCTATGGTGAGCCCGCAGTGGACTTACCTGGCACAGGACTTGAGCTGAGTGTTTTTATTAATAGTGTGTTCTATAAGTATTCAGTACTGGTCTTGCCTGATTCAAAGTGTTCTTTGTGGTAATTTGTAAGAACAAGCAAGTAACTAAGACAAGAAACTCTACCACTTCAAGTACGTGACTGAATAATGACTCGACGAAATGTTTGTCTTTTGCAGTAAATGCCAAAAAGTGAAGATGCACTTTTGTCTAGACCCGAGTCTGACCTTATTAGGCGAAGGACCACAGTGCCCTCATCCTTCAAGGTAAGCAACACCTCGAGCCTCAAGTGTAAACTTAATCTGCATAACTCATATATGGATTAAAATGTGATTAGTTAACACGATATTGCAAAATATTTGAATTGCATTATAATTGAAATGTGTATAGAGAGCTGTGACTAATACTTACAAGTATGTCGTATCATTACAGGTAAGAGATCATAGCAGCTCATCGTGTGAAAGGAATCTACCAATTAAAGGTACGTTCCTATTTCCCTTCGTTTGCATACGATATTTTTTCCCACAATTACAGAGAAGCGTTAAACATTGAGCAGTTTTGGAGACACTGTTGCCACCTGCCCAGCTGGTCTTGGAGGCAGTATAGTCACCTGCCCAGCTGGTCTTGGAGGCAGTACAGCCACCTGCCGTGGTCTTGGAGGCAGTACAGCCACCTACCCAGCTGGTCTTGGAGGCAGTACAGCCACCTACCCAGCTGGTCTTGGAGGCAGTATAGCCACTTGCCCTGGTCATGTAGGCAGTATAGCCACCTGCCCAGCTGGTCTTGGAGGCAGTACAGCCACCTGCCCAGCTGGTCTTGGAGGCAGTACAGCCACCTGCCCAGCTGGTCTTGGAGGCAGTATAGCCACCTGCCCTGGTCATGGAGGCAGTATAGCCACCTGCCCAGCTGGTCTTGGAGGCAGTACAGCCACCTGCCCTGGTCATGGAGGCAGTACAGCCACCTGCCCAGCTGGTCTTGGAGGCAGTACAGCCACCTGCCCAGCTGGTCTTGGAGGCAGTGCAGCCACCTGCCCAGCTGGTCTTGGAGGCAGTGCAGCCACCTGCCCAGCTGGTCTTGGAGGCAGTGCAGCCACCTGCCCAGCTGGTCTTGGAGGCAGTGCAACCACCTGCCCAGCTGGACTTGGAGGCAGTACAGCCACCTGCCCAGCTGGACTTGGAGGCAGTGCAGCCACCTGCCCAACTGGTCTTGGAGGCAGTGCAGCCACCTGCCCAGCTGGTCTTGGAGGCAGTGCTGCCACCTGCCCAGCTGGTCTTGGAGGCAGTGCAGCCACCTGCCCAGCTGATCTTGGAGGCAGTGCAGCCACCTGCCCAGCTGGTCTTGGAGGCAGTGGAGCCACCTGCCCAGCTGGTCTTGGAGGCAATATAGCCACCTGCCCTGGTCTTGGAGGCAGTACAGTCACCTGCCCAGCTGGTCTTGGAGGGAATATAGCCACCTGCCCAGCTGGTCTTGGAGGCAGTACAGCCACCTGCCCTGGTCTTGGAGGCAGTGCAGCCACCTGCCCTGGTCTTAGAGGCAGTATAGCCACCTGCCCTGGTCTTGGAGGCAGTATAGTCACCTGCCCAGCTGGTCTAGGAGGCAGTACAGCCACCTGCCCTGGTCTTGGAGGCAGTGCAGCCACCTGCCCTGGTCTTGGAGGCAGTGCAGCCACCTGCCCTGGTCTTGGAGGCAGTGCAGCCACCTGCCCTGGTCTTGGAGGCAGTATAGTCACCTGCCCAGCTGGTCTAGGAGGCAGTACAGCTACCTGCCCTGGTCTTGGAGGCAGTACAGCCACCTGCCCTGGTCTTGGAGGCAGTACAGCCGGCTGCCCAGCTGGTCTTGAAGGCAGTACAGCCACCTGCCCAGCTGGTCTTGGAGGCAGTACAGCCACCTGCCCTGGTCTTGGAGGCAGTACAGCCGGCTGCCCAGCTGGTCTTGAAGGCAGTACAGCCGGCTGCCCAGCTGGTCTTGAAGGCAGTACAGCCACCTGCCCAGCTGGTCTTGGAGGCAGTACAGCCACCTGCCCAGCTGGTCTTGGAGGCAGTACAGCCACCTGCCCAGCTGGTCTTGGAGGCAGTACAGCCACCTACCCAACTGGTCTTGGAGGCAGTACAGCCAGCTGCCCAGCTGGTCTTGGAGGCAGTACAGCCACCTGCCCAGCTGGTCTTGGAGGCAGTACAGCCACCTGCCCAGCTGGTCTTGGAGGCAGTACAGCCACCTGCCCTGGTGTTGGAGGCAGTACAGCCACCTGCCCTAACCTTGGAGGTGTTAAGGTCGCGTTCAATAGTGATGTGGGCTCAAACGCGTCGATTTTTATTATTTACATGTTTACATATTTTGGACTCCGTTTACTCACATGTTGTGATAAACAACACCCAATTATAGTTTGGTATTTAAAGTAACGAGAAGTGCATTGAACGTTAGTTGTCGCAATGTTTATACTTCTCTAGCGTTATCAAGTGGTGGTAACGAGTGTGTGTGCGAAAGTCAAACGGCGTCTTTTGAAGCAAAGAAAAATTTGCGTCAAAATTTCAACCCAAAAAAAATTATTTGGGCGGATTTTATTTACTTTTTGTACGTTTGTCGACGTACGCAACTCCTCGTGACGTCACGCTGCGTAGTTTCAATACGAGATCGCATTTTTGCGTCACGGTGCAATTAACGAAGCAATAACGATGTTGATAATGTTTTATAGTTTTAACGATTAGTACGAATATAAGGATTTGTGGTTATCGACTATTGCGGCTTTTTTGTTATCGTCACAGCAACACCTGTGTATTGTATGGCGACCCCACAACAACACCTGTATATTGTATGGTGACCCCACAGCAACACCTGTATATTGTATGGCAGGATGTGCAGAATACCCCCGTTGAAAAGCAGAGGTGCAACAGGTACTCTGAGAGAGAACTATCAACATCAGAGGCCCGAGACTGTTCAACACGCTTCCACTACACATAAGGGGCATAACTGGCAAACCCCTCACAGTGTTCAAGAGAGAACTGGATAAGCACCTCCAAAGGATACCTGATCAACCAGGCTGTGACTCATACGTCAGGCTGCGAGCAGCCGCGTCTAACAGCCTGGTTGATCAGTCCAGCAACCAGGAGGCCTGGTCGACGACCGGGCCGCGGGGACACTAAGCCCCGGAAGCACCTCAAGGTAACCCCACAACAACACCTGTATATTGTATGGTGACCCCACAGCAACACCTGTATATTGTATGGCGACCCCACAGCAACACCTGTATATTGTATGGTGACCCCACAGCAACACCTGTATATTGTATGGCGACCCCACAGCAACACCTGTATATTGTATGGTGACCCCACAGCAACACCTGTATATTGTATGGTGACCCCACAGCAACACCTGTATATTGTATGGCGACCCCACAGCAACACCTGTATATTGTATGGTGACCCCACAGCAACACCTGTATATTGTATGGTGACCCCACAGCAACACCTGTATATTGTATGGCGACCCCACAGCAACACCTGTATATTGTATGGTGACCCCACAGCAACACCTGTATATTGTATGGCGACCCCACAGCAACACCTGCACATTGTATGGTGACCCCACAGCAACACGTGTATATTGTATGGTGACCCCACAGCAACACCTGTATATTGTATGGCGACCCCACAGCAACACCTGTATATTGTATGGTGACCCCACAGCAACACGTGTATATTGTATGGCGACCCCACAGCAACACCTGTATATTGTATGGTGACCCCACAGCAACACCTGTATATTGTATGGTGACCCCACAGCAACACCTGTATATTGTATGGTGACCCCACAGCAACACCTGTATATTGTATGGTGACCCCACAGCAACACCTGTATATTGTATGGTGACCCCACAGCAACACCTGTATATTGTATGGTGACCCCACAGCAACACCTGTATATTGTATGGTGACCCCACAGCAACACCTGTATATTGTATGGTGACCCCACAGCAACACCTGTATATTGTATGGTGACCCCACAGCAACACCTGTATATTGTATGGTGACCCCACAGCAACACCTGTATATTGTATGGCGACCCCACAGCAACACCTGTATATTGTATGGTGACCCCACAACAACACCTGTATATTGTATGGCGACCCCACAGCGGCGTTGCCATTTTGAACGCCCCGCGAAACCTTGGAGGTAGAGGACCACATTTCCACCACTGGGTGGAATGCCTGGTGAATAGAGGTATAAGGTGAACGAAACTGTGGCAATTTGTTTCCGCCTTGGCCGGGAATCGAGCCCCGGGGGTCCTGATCTGTGGACCTGAGTGGGGGGGGGCGGCTTTTGGGGGTGGTTTAAATTGGTGTGGAGGATGAGGAGTGGGTGTGGATGTTGTTAGGTGTAGGGTGTGGATGTTGTTAGGTGTGGGGGTGTGGATGTTGTTAGGTGTGGGGGTGTGGATGTTGTTAGGTGTGGGGGTGTGGATGTGGCTAGGTGTGGGGGTGTGGATGTTGTTAGGTGTGGGGGTGTGGATGTTAGGTGTGGGGGTGTGGATGTTGTTAGGTGTGGGGGTGTGGATGTGGCTAGGTGTGGGGGTGTGGATGTTAGGTGTGGGGGTGTGGATGTTGTTAGGTGTGGGGGTGTGGATGTTAGGTGTGGGGGTGTGGATGTTAGGTGTGGGGGTGTGGATGTTGTTAGGTGTGGGGGTGTGGATGTGGCTAGGTGTGGGGGTGTGGATGTTGTTAGGTGTGGGGGTGTGGATGTTAGGTGTGGGGGTGTGGATGTTAGGTGTGGGGGTGTGGATGTTAGGTGTGGGGGTGTGGATGTTAGGTGTGGGGGTGTGGATGTTGTTAGGTGTGGGGGTGTGGATGTGGCTAGGTGTGGGGGTGTGGATGTTAGGTGTGGGGGTGTGGATGTTGTTAGGTGTGGGGGTGTGGATGTTAGGTGTGGGGGTGTGGATGTTAGGTGTGGGGGTGTGGATGTTAGGTGTGGGGGTGTGGATGTTAGGTGTGGGGGTGTGGATGTTGTTAGGTGTGGGGGTGTGGATGTTAGGTGTGGGGGTGTGGATGTTAGGTGTGGGGGTGTGGATGTTAGGTGTGGGGGTGTGGATGTTAGGTGTGGGGGTGTGGATGTTGTTAGGTGTGGGGGTGTGGATGTGGCTAGGTGTGGGGGTGTGGATGTTAGGTGTGGGGGTGTGGATGTTGTTAGGTGTGGGGGTGTGGATGTTGTTAGGTGTGGGGGTGTGGATGTTGTTAGGTGTGGGGGTGTGGATGTTGCTAGGTGTGGGGGTGGATGTGGCTAGGTGTGGGTGTGGATGTTGTTAGGTGTGGGGGTGTGGATGTTGTTAGGTGTGGGGGTGTGGATGTTGCTAGGTGTGGGGGTGGATGTGGCTAGGTGTAGGGTGTGGATGTTGTTAGGTGTGGGGGTGTGGATGTTGTTAGGTGTGGGGGTGTGGATGTTGCTAGGTGTGGGGGTGGATGTGGCTAGGTGTAGGGTGTGGATGTTGTTAGGTGTGGGGGTGTGGATGTTGTTAGGTGTGGGGGTGTGGATGTTGCTAGGTGTGGGTGTGGATGTGGCTGGGTGTCGGTGTGGATGTTGTTAGGTGTGGGGGTGTGGATGTTGCTAGGTGTGGGGGTGTGGATGTTGCTAGGTGTGGGGGTGGATGTGGCTAGGTGTGGGTGTGGATGTGGCTGGGTGTGGGTGTGGATGTTGTTAGGTGTGGGGGTGTGGATGTTGCTAGGTGTGGGGGTGGATGTGGCTAGGTGTAGGGTGTGGATGTTGTTAGGTGTGGGGGTGTGGATGTTGCTAGGTGTGGGGGTGGATGTGGCTAGGTGTAGGGTGTGGATGTTGTTAGGTGTGGGGGTGTGGATGTTGCTAGGTGTGGGGGTGGATGTGACTAGGTGTAGGGTGTGGATGTTGTTAGGTGTGGGGGTGTGGATGTTGCTAGGTGTGGGGGTGGATGTGGCTAGGTGTAGGGTGTGGATGTTGTTAGGTGTGGGGGTGTGGATGTTGCTAGGTGTGGGGGTGGATGTGGCTAGGTGTAGGGTGTGGATGTTGTTAGGTGTGGGGGTGTGGATGTTGCTAGGTGTGGGGGTGGATGTGGCTAGGTGTAGGGTGTGGATGTTGTTAGGTGTGGGGGTGTGGATGTTGCTAGGTGTGGGGGTGGATGTGGCTAGGTGTGGGTGTGGATGTGGCTGGGTGTGGATGTTGTTAGGTGTGGGGGTGTGGATGTTGCTAGGTGTGGGTGTGGATGGGGCTAGGTGTGGGTGTGGATGTTGCTAGGTGTGGGGGTGTGGATGTGGCTAGGTGTGGGTGTGAGGACGTGGCTAGGTGTGGGTGTGAGGACGTGGCTAGGTGTGGGTGTGAGGATGTGGCTAGGTGTGGGTGTGAGGATGTGGCTAGGTGTGTGGGTGTGGACGTGGCTAGGTGTGGGGTGTGGACGTGGCTAGGTGTGGGAATGTGGACGTGGCTAGGTGTGGGAATGTGGACGTGGCTAGGTGTGGGAATGTGGACGTGGCTAGGTGTGGGAATGTGGACGTGGCTAGGTGTGGGGTGTGGACGTGGCTAGGTGTGGGGGTGTGGACGTGGCTAGGTGTGGGGTGTGGACGTGGCTAGGTGTGGGGTGTGGACGTGGCTAGGTGTGGGGTGTGGACGTGGCTAGGTGTGGGGTGTGGACGTGGCTAGGTGTGGGGTGTGGACGTGGCTAGGTGTGGGGTGTGGACGTGGCTAGGTGTGGGGTGTGGCCGTGGCTAGGTGTGGGGTGTGGACGTGGCTAGGTGTGGGGTGTGGACGTGGCTAGGTGTGGGGTGTGGACGTGGCTAGGTGTGGGTGTGGACGTGGCTAGGTGTGGGTGTGGACGTGGCTAGGTGTGGGGTGTGGACGTGGTTAGGTGTGGGGGTATGGACGTGGCTAGGTGTGGGGTGTGGACGTGGCTAGGTGTGTGGGTGTGGGCGTGGCTAGGTGGGGGTATGGACGTGGCTAGGTGTGGGGTGTGGACGTGGCTAGGTGTGGGGTGTGGACGTGGCTAGGTGTGGGGTGTGGACGTGGCTAGGTGTGGGGGTGTGGGCGTGGCTAGGTGTGGGGTATGGACGTGGCTAGGTGTGGGGTATGGACGTGGCTAGGTGTGGGGTATGGACGTGGCTAGGTGTGGACGTGGCTAGGTGTGGGGTGTGGCCGTGGCTAGGTGTGGGGTGTGGCCGTGGCTAGGTGTGGGGTGTGGACGTGGCTAGGTGTGGGGTGTGGACGTGGCTAGGTGTGGGGTGTGGACGTGGCTAGGTGTGGGGTGTGGACGTGGCAAG